GCCAACTCCTGCGTCAATCCCATCGTCTATGCCCTGGTCTCCAAACACTTCCGCAAGGGCTTCAAGAAGATCTTCAGCTGCCTCCTGCACAAGAAGGCAGCCCACAGGGTGCACGTGGCCCAGGTGACCAACACCGTCAGCACGCTGGAGGCAGAGCTCAGCGAGGTGACCCAGCTCAGTGAGGCCCTGCCCGGCCGCTCCGCCGCGCGCTGCAGGGTCCCAGCCCAGCCCTGGGGGGAGGTGGAGCTGGTGGGACAGCAGCACAAAGCAGATGGCTCCTTCGTCACCTTCAGTGTCAGCTAGCAGAGCTTCTCCCCACCCCACGGCTTTGCGGGCTCCTGCAGCAATGGCAGGCCTGGGGACAGGCCTACGTTTTGGGTTGAAATGTGGCCAGTCGGACTCTTTCCATTCAAGTGCACCCAGATGTCATAACACTGATCATGCTGCTGATACAGACTCAGCCAAGCAGCTGACCGAGGATCCAAGGTCAGGATTTCCTTCCACCAAGCACTTGCTGAGAGTAGAGATCAAACCCCCCAAATCCACTCTGGTGTAATCACCTGTTCCTCTGTCACGGACAGACTTATGCCCTGTTGCAACTACACCTGGAGGTTGTTGAAAGCTCTGGTCCCTCCAACCAACACAGCATCTGGCTGGAGTTAGTGGGGTGCTCTTTTAGGGATATTTGGGAAGTCTTGGTTTGTTTGTGACCTGGTACAGGAGCTGCATCCCAGGGCAGCTCTGGGCACAGCCGTGTGGGCACAAACCCAGCTCAGGTAGGAAAATCCAGGAGAGAAGCATAGAAGGTCACCAAGGACCAGAAGGGAGGGAGGCTGTTTGCTGAGGAAGCACAGCCATGGTCCTGCAGGAGGGGAACCTGAGTGGGACAGGACCACACTGGGGGAGGATTTGAATGCCTTGGACAGCTCAGGCACGGCTCAGCCTCTCATCAAAGCGAGGTGATTGTGGAGAAGAGCAAAGCAAAGCAGCAGCACTGCTTCCCTGGAGCCACGGTGTGGGACTGGACAGCCAGAGCCGTGTGAGAGCTGGGGGTCATCCTCAGCCAGTCAGGAAAGCCTTAATAAAGCCTCTTCATCTCACCTCCTGCGTTCAGCTCCCTTGAGACACCTCACAGCTGCAGGGGAGGAGAGGAGGGTGCTGGAGGGGTGGTGGGACCTGCTGGATGGAGGGAAGCTGAGGGTGGAAGGGATGGAGGATGTGGATTATGTCCAAGCACATCCATAGAGAGGGGTCACTTCGGCACAGGAATGCCACTGCACCCTCTTCATATAGCTGTACCTGCCCATGAGAGGCTGGTGTGACTCACAAACTCCTGCTCATTACACTGCAAAGGCTGTGTGAGAGCAGAGCCCTGTGACCATCAGCAGCCGAGGGCCTTAAATGAAAGCCCTCCTTTCTGTACCACAAGAGCATCACTGGAATAGGATCAATTAACTCTTTTGAAAACCCTGTGGCAAAGCACAGCCAGAGGTGGCAGTGAAAGTGCACAGGAGCTGGGATGAACTGTCTGCACGGATTTCCCTCTTGTGAATCTCTAAGGCAGAACTCTCCGGGACTGGGCTGCATTGCAGGAGGCTATTTCTGTCCAGGACCCTGGTTCTCCCTGGGTGTCTGGTCAGGACACAGCCCTCCTCCACCCCTCCCCAGTGCTTGGCCTTTCTTCCTGAGAAGCTTTTGGCTGTAAATAATTTCTTTTCCCCTGCTGAGTGTTATTATAACCAGATCTTCCTGCCCCAATGCAAAGGGCCATAAATCAGCCACTGCCTCATATCAATAACTGTGATATTTAGTCTCAGCTTGCTTGCAGCATAAGTCACAGAGAGCAGCATATAAACAGCTCCATTAATTATATCTGGATTTATCTCCCTGCTCAACCCTTTACAGCCAGGGAAAACATTGGATCAGCTGCACAAACATAGTTAAAGCCTTATCTTCCTCCTGCACTCATCTACCTCTGCTCAGAGGGCTGCAGGATCTGGCTGTGATGGATCTCACACACACCAAGGGGTTCAATCCCCTCTCCCGGACAGTTATCAGCTCACCTTGGGGATGGAGATGTTGACCCATCACCTCTGCACTGCCCAAGGACATGGGTCCCTGTGCTGGCATGGCTGTCCCCTGTCTGCTCATGACAGCAGAGCATCCCAGAGCAGACACTGACCCTGCTCCCCTCCTTCCCACCCCAGCCTTTCCAAGAGCCCTCCAAGCACTCAGCTGAGACCTGCCTTACCCTGCTAACTGTTCTAGAGCTGCTCAGCCACCCATGACCACTTTGAAGGCACATCCCAGGACACCTCTAACTCAGCTCCCAGGGCACCAAAAGGTTTTTCTGCCACACAAAAACATGTTGGGAAGTGACTTTCTCCAAAAATAAGAGCATATCAGGAAAAGACAAGAGTATCACGACCTGCTGCTACTCAGCACCCTCCCGAGGGAGGCAGGCTCCTGGTCTGTTCCCTTGGGAGGCCTTGTCTTAAATTAAGATCAGTGCAAGTCCCCCTGTTCCAGTTAAAATTTAATAAAAGCATATTCAATAGGGAGTGGAAAATAAATAGGCTAAAGTCAGCTCTCAAGTCCAAGAGTGCACAGGGACATGAGGGACACTTAGCTGAAATCTCAGTTAATGTGAACTTTGCAGCACATGGATTTATCACTGGAGTTAAAGAAGTTGTTTTCGTTTGTGGTTTTGTTTTGTTTTCAAACACTTACTCTGCCAAATTTGCTCCCCAGTATTAGGAGGCAGCAGGTAGGAGACACTCAGATCCTGGCACAGCCCCAGCATGGGCCTCTGTGGAGCTACAAAAATAAACAATGGAGAAATGGGGCTCCAGCCCCAAAACCTTGGAAATCAGAGAGTCTGTGTCAGGCTGAATGGGAGGTGAGGGGAGAGCATTAAACCTTGCAGGAGCCTTGGAGAAAGCAGAGGGGGAGGCAAAGGGGGTTCAGCCCCATCCGTGGCCCCTTCCCACAGTCTCAGCATCACTTGAGGCTCTGCAGTCAGCTCTTAGCAAGGATGTGAAGGGCTAAAGTGTTTGAGAGGGCCAGGCTGTGCTGGCTGCCATGATCACTCTTAATTAACATGTTGCAAACACATTCCTTACCATAAAAAGCCAAGGAGCACACGGAGCTGTTCCCTGCACTGTGCAGTGTTGGACAAAGCCAGCCTGGAGGGGGCCAGCGGCTCCTCCTGCTCCCACCCCAAGGGAGGGGTGGCTCAGCCTGAAACGTGCTGCTGATCCCAAAGCAGGTCTGGCTGCTGCAGGGGCTGCTCAGCTCCCCTGTTCATTCCCTGCACAGGGGAGAAGCAGGTGGTGAGGGAATGGTTAGAGCCAAGGGTGAGTGGGAGGCTGGATTTAAGAAACAGGGACTGGATGGCTCAGTTTTCCCTTTAACTCAGGGAAAACGAGGGTCTTGATTCCCACCTGCTACCTCCTCCGGCTCCTCCTCACTGTACAGCCTGCACAGCCAACAGCAAGCTCAGCTCTCAGTCCCCAGCTGCCTCTTACCTCCATTCCTTACTCCAGATGCAGCCAGGGCATCCCTGGGGTAGAAAACAACCCAACCAGCTACTGGTGCTGGTAATGGAGAGCCCAGGAGGGAGTGGGACATTTTGCATCCCATCTCTGACTGCATCTCCCCACCAGCCCTGGTCTGTACAGCTTTCCTGGGGGAACAGGCTGACAGCAAAACCCAGAAATGCCTCTTTTGGCATGGGTCATGCAGACGCATTCCCAGAATCTCTGGAGAACAGGATGTGGCCTTGTCCCAAACCCTAAAGGATTTCATGCATTTTCCACAGCCTCTGGTTGGCACAAGAGCATCAGCATAGGGAGGATTCCAGCTCCTGCACACTAAAGCTCAGGTGCTCCAGAAATGCTGCAGGCAAAGCTCTCTCTTCCCTCCCTTGGCTTTGCCTGCAACCGTTCCGGGTGAATTGCCTTGCCCTGGGATCAGGGGCAATAAAACATATTTTACAGCTCAGCCTGAATTCCACACACTCTCCTGGAGAAAGAAACTCACATCAGACTGCTGCAGTGGCAGAAACACATCCAGAAAGATGGAATCCAGGTCCTTCTGGTGAATGTCAGAGTGTGTATCCAGCAAGCTGGACACTGCACACAACACAAGCCAGCAGCACTTTGCTTATGCTTTCCAACACTGTCTGGCGCCTGCTGGCCTTTGGAGGCTCTTGGAGCTGGCAGAGGTGAAAAACAGTGAGTGCTGAGGTCTCAGGTGTCCTCAGACATTTGAGATCTGAAAGCAGGAGGGAAGGTCCCTGCAGGGAGGGCTGTGGGGTTGGCACTGTGAGCCTGCACAGTCAGACACATAGGAACAGCCAGGTAGGGTGGGTGATCAAGGCTTGAACTCACACCGTGGTCCAGCTCTGGGCCGGACAAGCCTGTCCAATCTGCTGGTTTTCAGGCATTTGTTACACCAGGTAGTGTTTCAGACCAGTCTGAGGAGGAAGAGGAGGTCAGGAGTTTAGAAAAGCCAGGAGCTCCCTGAAAAACATCTGTCTGAGGAGGCAGTGGCCCAGGCAAGAGGCTGGGTCGGCCACAGCAGGACCTGCACTAACATCCAACAGCTCTGCCACTGCTGGGCTAATCAGACACCAGCAAACACAGCTCAGGTGAATAATGGATTTGCTCCAAATTACAAAGCAGCAGCTATTGTGAGTGCTCCTCACTCTATGGAAACCCTGTATTTCAAGTGTTACAGACAAACAGTGGAGCAGCAGCAGGAGAGAGGGAGGTGGAAGCAGGAGGTGCCTGGCCAGAGACCGCAGATACAACAGAGGTGTTCCTCTGAAAGGCTTTGGTGCAAAGCTGTCAGAGTCCAGTTCCTGTATCAAAGCCTGCCAGGATTGCTCCAAGGCATGTGGGAGAGCACTTGCTTCACACATGCCTATGGGCTGAACAGAGGGAACAGGCTTGGATGCTTGCAGGGAAGAGATGCATCAGATTTAAGACAGAAGACAAAGGAAAAAGAGGGATGGGAGGAAGATGCTGAGCAGAAATCTGTATGTACACTTCTGCACATGCTCTGCCTCAGGTCGAGGGGCAGCACTCAGCCAGGCCACCACGGAGCTCCCTCTGGTTTCCCACTGCTCTGTCATGACTCCAGACTGCCTTCACCCCACCTGCCACTGCCTCATGAAGGACTGAGCACTGATACAGGGGCAGCTTGCCAAATTTTGGGTAAAACACCCTGGTGCATGACTAGCCTGCACCACCACGGCCACACACCACCACACCCCAGAACTGGCATCGCAGCCCATCACTGAACTAAATAACAGTCAAGAGTAACAATGTGAAAATCCTTTGGGATCCTACAGAACTGAGATTCCCAAAACCCATCAGGGA